CAAGGCCAGTCTTGAATACATAGGGAGACTTTAATCTAGGAAAAGAAAAGCTTCTATACTGTCTGCTGAAAGTTTTAATATGTTGTCTTTGAGTGACATCCAAAATCTGCTCAGAGCTTGCTTATGCTTCTGGTGTATGAGGGAAGGACCTAGTTGGTCCCCACAGACCCTGTTCATCAAGCAGCCCCTCCTTGGGGTCTTCTTGGGCACCCCTGTCATATATCAGGCTTCTAGGGCACTAAGGCCGCTTCTTGTCTGTCTTAGACCTCCAAATTCTACTTCTACACAGGCAGACACTGAGCCTGGGGATGTGTGCCTTCAGGTGCTTGTATTAACGTGTGCCACATATCCTGTGCATCCATATCAGTGAGAACTTAAGCATGTAAGTCAGAAATCCTGTCATCTCTGCTCCCACCTTTGCTTCAGGTCATACCTTGAAGATATCCATGGCTTGAGCCTCTGTCTACCACTTGGTCTGCAGGGATGGATACTCAGTGGCCTCCCAGGCCTCATTTAGTGTGTGCCTGATGGCCCTGATTCCAGCTTCTCAGTGTGTACCCTCTCCTGGTGTCTACCGCTTTCTTGTCACCACCCTTTCTTCCTCTGCCTCTGGTTCCTGAGCCAGAGCCAGTAGGAGCCCCAGTCCTGGCTTCCCTGCTTACCCCTTTTTCACAGGGGGCCTTGTATAGGCAACTCCTCAGGTCTGTGAGCAGTGCCATCTCCACGCTGGTCTCCCTGGGCTGCACTCTGGCCCTGACTTAGTGTGTCCTTTTGCTTCGAGCTGGACATATTGGAGTCATTTGGGATATTTGTCCTGTCTTCTTGTTTATAAAAAGTAAGCAATGGGGAGGGGTTGCACCATACTGATTCTTTAATGGCTGGGCAGTGATCTGAGGCCATTCTTCTTTCCTGCCCTGCATTGCTGGACTGTACCCTGAGGAACTGCCTGGAGGCCTTGGGAGCCATAGCCACCACAGCCCCTGCATTCCTTCTGCTCAGGTACCTTGTGTTTCCTGAGACCTGGTGTTTTCAGCCTTCCATGGAAAGGCATCGTTGTGTCCCCAAGTGCCACTGTATGTGCCCATCTGTCTTCTGGTCTGGTCTCCTGTTTCAGATGCTGCCTGTGTTTGAAGAGGGGAGGCAAGAAAGAGAGGGGAACCCTAATCCTGTGATGGGATCTCCTCTGGCCCCTTTCAGGGGATACCTTGTGGGTGGTGTTTGGCAAGGGCTTTGTCTGCCCACTGACCTGAAACCTTTTGGGGCCATTTCCAGAGCTGTCTTGGGGAGCCAAGTTCGCTGGAGCTCTCTGTGCCTTGCACAGAGATGCTGTGCTGTCTTGTATGATGGGCTGTGAGTGTCTGGTGGCAAATGGTGCTAGGTGTCCAGCTTTGGCTCAGGCTCTCCTCTGCCTCAGGTCCCTCCTTGGATTCCTCTGCTTGCCTTTGGTGGGAGGAGGGCAGAGCCAGATTTTCCCAGTTGCTGGGTTTTCTCAGTGCTAGCTGAGCATCTCCTTAGTGCATGTGTGTGTTGTAGTTCTGTCTCTGACCATCACGAAGGGGTGTAGGTGGCTTGAACAGAGAGTCACTCCTCAGTTTATGCACAGAACCAAGTGTGCATGTGGGCTCTGGACCTGGCCTGTGGCTGGCTCCACGGTGGGTGAGATCGTCAGCTCAGCAGTGTTTCCTATGGTGCCTTTGACCAGCACATGACACAGCAGATGGTTTCGGGGTGTCATTTTCTTGATCACTTTTATTTTTTTTTTTAATTTTTTAAAAAATTTTTATTTATTTATTTATTTGTGTGTGTGTGTGTG